AGGTTAATGCATGCGTGATTTTAAATATTAAATATAACTTTATCATTTACTAGTATATTATCATTTTATATATATATATATATTCCTTTTTTTTATATAACTTTTATTATTAAGATAATTAATAGTAAAGCGAGAATTCATTTTTTTTTGTCTTGCGATAAGATATAATTTTATTTTATTACTATTACTATTGTTTTCTTTTGGATATATATATATATATTTGGATATATAATTTGGAAATATAATTTTATAACTTAATTTTCTTTTTCTCGAATCACCTCTTCTTCGGTTCTCAATGCTGCAACTGCAGAAAAGATAAAGGAGCGTTCGACGATCTTAGTTTATACTAAAAGGGAGACTTATCGCACTCAAATATTCCTAATATAAACTTTCCAACGAAGAGCTAGCTCGGAGAGCGAAATTTTCGTTGCGCAACGAAAATTTAATTGACGAAAACTGATTAATTAAATGAATTCTCGTTTTGCAATAATAAGATTTATTATTAAGTATTAACGAAAATCTCCGAAAAAATATTAGGTCTTAGCTTTATTTTTCTTTCTTTCTTTTCCTTTTATCTTTTTCTATTTTCGCGTAATAACCGTAAATAACCGTAGCACGAAATAAAATGCTCAGTCGAGAAGTGTTTGTTTGCCCCTCCCCTTTGCATCGGCCCTACCCTAGAGATACGGCTTGGATGCAAACATGGCAGTCGTTAACGAACCTCCAGAGAGTGTAATCGTCAAATCATTCCACGAATCAAATCACCGAATCTTTTATTATTAAGGACGAAAATTATATTAACTATTATGAAAGGAAAAGAAAAGGAAAGAGAATTTGCTAGAAGTTTAAACTTTTAACCATTTACTTTGAACCACTTAAGATAATCATTTCTATTGTTATTTCTATTGTTATTTCTATTATTATTATTACTATTATTATTATTATTATTTGATTGATTTCTTTATAAATTAAATTCATATTACGTTAAATTTATATCACCTTTTTGTGAAGCTCTTTATAGTAACACTTAAATACTATACTATATTTTTAATTTACATTATATTATTATTATTATTATTATTACTATTTGACATCTCCTTTTTATATGGATTGATTAATATATTATTAGTATTAAACCTACATCAAATTATATAGTGCTGATACTTTTATTCACTTATATATAATAATAATTTTTGTCATATATCTTTGAAGCTTTTATACTATGTTTTCCAGCCATCATCCCCATTCTTATTTGATATTGTCTAATTTGTTTTTCTATTCCACATATAATTAGGTCTATACCACAATGTTGTTTTATTCACCATTATGATTCATGATATATTTTTCCATTGACATTATTATTGTTATTATTCTATCTGCATTATTATTATTATTATTATTATTAT